TTGTATTATGTTTTTATTTTTCTTAGTGTGTTTGGCACCATGAATTGTATTATGTCAAGGTTCTTTCTACCTCTTTTGTGCTTCTGGAAATTGTATTCTCTCATATGTGTGAACCTTTGGCATCTGGCAGTAAGTAAATTATTGTCTCCCAGCTTTGTTCTATAGTTGCTGATATCTTTCTTTTTCATCGGTAGAGCTGTAAGTCCACCTCTCAGATATGATAGAATAGAAACCATCTTCCTAGTTGCTGATATCTTTCTGTTTCTGTTTCCACTCTGCAGTCCATACTAGTATCTTCCTGCTACTACTGCCAAGTAGAAGTAGTCCGAGTACTCTGCTCAATTGCAAACTGTATATTCATCCAAATCTTGCCGTGACTCGTGATGCCTGTCATCAGCCTGTGCCACTTCGGCTTCGTACCGGACTTCTGATTTCTGAATGCATGCACCCGGCCTCCATTCCCTGTTTATTTTAATTTGTTTTCGTACAAGAAACCATGCTAGTTTTTGACATGTGCACTGCACGTAGGTCTGTATACTCGGTCCCTGTAAACTTTAGGGCTACTTTGGCAGCACCGATTCCCGCTGGGATCCCGGTGTCTTCCCGGGGCGAGAAACCCACGGGGCCACCTCCCCTGGGGTAATCTCCTACCGCGTTTGGAAGCTAAGGAGACGCGGAATCTCGCCCGCTTCCCTACGTTTTCCACGGGAGAGAAATCCACGAGGCAACAGGTCGGGGGCATTTCCCCGCCCCTCGACTCACGACGCTCCTCGTCTCTCACGATTGGCGTCGGGGAGACCGTCGCCGCCGCCGCCCGCGCGACTTCCACTTTCGCCGTCGCATCCGCCACCGACGTTTGAAGCCAGCAGGTCCGAGTGAGCCCGTCTTCCCCGCCACCACAGGCCGGGCAGCGCTCCCCGTGCGAGCGTGCTCTCCTTCCGCCCCCTGTTCGCTTCTCCTCCGCCATTGCCTCGCTTCTCCACCGTCGTCGTAGCCTTTGCTCTTGGCTTCGATCCGGTGAGTCCACGTCCACTCGCATCTTCTTCACCACTAGGATTTCTCGATCCGCCATGGTTTCGCTCGCATCTCTGCAGGTGACACCATTGTTTCTTTGTAGATCTTGGGGGATGCTGTTCTCCGCATCCTTCTCTCCAATCTCGCGTGTGTGGACCTGGAAAAGAGCCATGTCGGGGAGGTGGGGCTCGATCACTTTGGCTTCACCTGCACCGCCAGGGCCAAGAAGGGTGAGCATAAGGTCTTGGACAACACCGTCAAGTTCATACCCAAGGTCAAGATGCGAGCATCTATCTGCATTTTCTTGTTTGCTTTGCTATTTATCCAAGATTACTTGTGATGGTTTTGATTTTTTGAGGGGATTACTCAAGATTTTCAGAGGCTGGCTGCCCATTTGCTACCTTTACTTGAAACATCATTCATTCAGGAAATAGTAGTTCCCCATCTAGAAATATTAGAATAAAAAAGTCATCACTGTAGGATCTTGATCATTCATTTATCTTCCATGGTATTATAAATTGCTACAAAATGGACATCATATATATATATATATATATATATATATGCTTAGCCACTAATAATCCTCGACGATTTTGCTGATAATATAATCATGGATGGCTCATCTCGTCTAGAACATAATTGGGTATACCTACAAAGAACTGGGAGAATAATTGGGTATATCTACAATGTATGTAGTTATCTGTTTTATGGCTCTGTTTGTTCATCCAGTAAATGAAGGAACTCTTGTTTATCAGTTTGGACAATGGTTTGCAAGTTTGGATTGACATTAAGTAAACTTCATGTTTTGCCTGTACAAGACATTTTGCTGTTAACTAAATGATCTTGAATGACATGTGTTGTTAACTGAGTGATCCTTCTGTTAACTGAGTTTTTCCTTGTGTTTACTTGCAGTGCTCTTGGTTGAAGCAATGCATGATTAGAGGCACTTGAATTCAAGAGTGTTTCTGATTCAGGTTCATTCAACATTTAGCATAGTTTCTGAATGTTTTTCCAATTATTGCTTTGCCTATCAGAACTATTAGCTTCATTGTTTGGTTTGTTTTCCTGCTTGTATAAATAATTTTTTTACCCGATCTAGATGATGCTCGTTTTAAAAGTGCTTTAGTTAGATTGTATCGGTAGCATTAGTGCACCATCATGTGTCCAAAAGTCTGGTTTGTAGCCAGCAGACCGGTGGCGACCTCAGATTCCTATGGACATCGCTTGCCCCGATGCAAACACTAGATCAGAGCTTATATTAGGCAGCAGCAATGCCTTCCATTATCATTTACATATTACATATTAGTGTAGACTTATTTTGAACATCTTTTTGCTGTTGCACAATGATTGCCAGGTGGTCAAAATGCACTTTTGGTCATCATTGTTGGAGCAGATTAGTGTACACTTATTTTAGTGTTGGTAAAGTTAGTAACTTAGTATGAAGTATCGTATTCCTCTTTTTTTCTGTGCCAGCAGTCTAGCCGTGATTGGTTTCCTGAAGCTGTCCAGAAAAGTAGTTGAACCAACTATTTTCACCCTGTTTTATAGCAAGTATTGTAGTTTCTTTAAAATAAGTAGTAGGCTCAAGGCATACCTAGAGGCACACACCAGACACATGCTTATTTGGAGGAAATACCCAAGGCCCATGTTTGATTTTGCAATCGCAATCACACCCTCTCAAGGTTAGAGTGGTGAACCCCAATGAATTTTTATTATTCATATCGATCTGTAGGTCCTTTTCTTATTCATATATATACTATAGTATTGTTATTGTTTCCTGCTTTCTTTTAATTCTAGGAAGCACTAACTTTGTTGGGTGTGCATCGTCTCTGTTTTAATGATAATGCAAGGCTAGGGTCTTAGGAATTGCTTCTAGTTATACGAGATACTTACTTGAGTATTTGACATACAACCCCAGTGACTATTGGCACTGCACTGTCTCCACATGTTTCCTGAATCATCAGTAGATGGTGGAATGGTAGTGTGATGATGTAGCTTTATCATTACAGCTAGCTGCTGGTGAGATATCACCTCGCAGTTCAGAACACTACACTGTTCTGCTACATATTCTTGTAACTCACCATTTCCTTTGTGTTGCTTGTAGAGGACTTGGCGGAAGCAACACATGATCAGAGAAAAATAAGTTTGTTCCCTTCTTCATCACAAGCATCTAAGAAAACGTTCAAGCTCATAGCGAGATTTCGCTCCTCCTAACTGTCAATTTTTATATACATGCACCTACTATTTGTCCATTTTTTATGCTACATGCATCTATGTAATATAATATTGGTGTGTATGAACCGGAGGACCATAATTTATTCTTGTGTCAGTTTTTGGTCAAGAAATTGATATCCTGTTTTATTTTTTGTTATCTATCTAGATATGTGGATGGAGATGACTACTGATATTTCTGTGGAAGCCACATATTAGCTTTGTTGGAAGATGATACTTGAATAGAACTTCTATATTAATAGACTAGCTTTGTTTGAGGTTTGAAATATCTATTTATTTGTATGGAAAGTCTTGTCCCTGACTTTTTTTCATGATTTTGTGGATTTTTTTCTGATTATTTGAGACATACAGTACTTTGCTTCAATTGTGCGGTCATTTTTACCAAACGCATTCTTGGATTGTTATATACTATACTATATAAAACAATAGCAGGGAAACTCCCCTGACAGCAGTCTGCCAAACAACAGCAGGGAAATTCTCCCATACGTGGATATCTCCCCAGGGTGGAGGCGGGAATGAGAAATCCAAAAAAATCCACGTCGGGGGCAAACTTCTCGGGGCTAATTTGCCTCTGCTGCCAAAGTAGCCCTTAGGGGGGAAAAAACTCGGTCCCTGCCAGGGAAATCACCAAAGAATTTGATTCTGCCTTATCATCACGTGGATTTCTAGCCCAATCGGCTTTAGCATGTTCCTATGTCTGTGCTGTTGCTTCCATCTGTTTGTTGAAAATGTCAAAGCTAAATATGTTTATACTGATTTGGTATTTCTTTTTTTTTTGAGCTATAACTGATTTGGTATATCTTTTGTCGTGTGGGTTCAGTTCACCCTCTTATATTACATACAGCCTGGTTATTTTTGAACTGAATATATTAGTCTTATTATTAGTAGGGCAAGATTATTTCCTTGTCTGTCAGAGCTAAGGGATCGGTCTTGTTTGTTTCCCATTATTGTTGATTGCCTACTTGATCCCTACTGATGTCATTACCACTTGACACAACTGCAGATCGACTGGGATGACTCCTCTCCATTATCACTAAAATTGAGCAGATTTGTGAATGCTTGGCAAGTCCAGCTTGTTTCATACCCTCCTCTTCCAAACAGAGTGAGGATTTGCGACCCAATTGCGCCTCTTTGCCCTGGAGATGCCTCTTATCCACTGATCGGATCGGAAAGCCAGGCCATGGCCATGATATTGGGGCCACCAATTCCTGCTGGCATGCAGGGAGCCAGGCACACCGGCCCTTGTGCTGCACCCTCTGAATCCTCTGTAATGCTCACGACTCAGTTGCTATTCCCTCTAACCAACAGGGACCTCTAGATGCCACCGCGTACAAGCCCCAGTGCTTCCTCTGAGATTGTGGATCCTGAAGCTGCTTCTCCTCCCAACAACTCAGTAAGCATGCGTCTAGCAGAGCTTCCAGTCCAAGTGAAGAGCATACAGCTCTTTTGGCGCCACAATCACACCCCATGTTGTGCAGAGTGCTACTAATGGTGATGCTATGGCTGATGACAATGTTGAAAAAGATGTCTAAACCTTGCAACTGTACTTGAAGGTATGGTGTGATCTTCTCAGCACCCCCTGGGTTGTTGCAGTGAAAAATGCAGAGTTTAATTTAGGTCAGAATACAAGGTGTATTTGGGGGAGGGGGGGTTATCAGATGCTATTACATACAGAACCTTATATGTTTTGATGGATCAACCAAACTAATATTTGTGTCATCATCATGGGCTCCTGTCACCACCGGCAGAGCCTCATGGAGGTGAGCCCCTTTGCTTCAATGATATGAATAGAATGTTGATGGCTGCATATGTTTCTTCAAGTTTTATGGTTTGCAAATCTGGATAAAGTTTAAAGAGTAAAATAGCTTGCATTGATCCTTCACAATGTCCTTATCATGTGATCTGTTTTGTAGTGGAATTTGTGTAAAATAGCCCTATCCTCTCTCAGTTTTTGTGTTTTGTGCATGATCTTATCACATTGTAATATATTGTGTTTACGCTTGAGTCAACTGCAGGAAAAGAATACAGTGTTTTGATCTGTTTTGTTTTTAATTTCAGGTGCCAGCTACTATCAGGTTTGCATTAGACGGAGAAATGACGCCCTATTTACTTGTTAAGGATCTGATTTTGCAAGTAAGCTTATAAGATCTGATATTGCGTTTTTTAATACTAGAAAGTGCACTAGTTATAATGCACAAATTTTTAATTATTGTTTTGTAATTTGTATTATGTTTTTATTTTTCTTAGTGTGTTTGGCACCATGAATTGTATTATGTCAAGGTTCTTTCTACCTCTTTTGTGCTTCTGGAAATTGTATTCTCTCATATGTGTGAACCTTTGGCATCTGGCAGTAAGTAAATTATTGTCTCCCAGCTTTGTTCTATAGTTGCTGATATCATTATTATGCTTTGTTCTATAATTTGGATAAATTTAGCTCATCAGTAAGTACACTTGATCACTCAGTAACATAGTGTTATACGACATTTGTTGGGCACTAAATCATGTCATTATTAAGCTTTGGTGTGTGTAGAGTGTGTGGGTGTTTGGGTTCTTGTCCTATATTTTCTTCTTAATAATAATGAACCGCAGCTCTCCTGCGTTTTCGCAAAAAAATGTCATTATTATGTTGTACTTGCAGTGGTTATGGAGGTTGGTTTGTTGTCTCAGTAGAATTCATATGTTTTTTGGATATATTTCTAGTAAAGGGCTCATATATCTATGTTGCCTTGATCAAACAGGACTCTCCTGAAGTGCACTGTAACTTGTATATTTCTTCCTGACCGTTGGCTAATGTTTTATGCTGCAGCCGTCCAACTTCTCTACATGATCGTGGGAGGGATAGCGATGATGACGACTTCCGAGACAGAGACTATGATGTGGCAGCACTTGCTAATAATCTGAGTCAGGCATTTCGATATGGGATATACAACAATGATGACATTGAAGAGGTGATGTTCGTCAGTTTTTTAGCAAGATTTTCTTGAGTTTTGAACATCATGTTCTTTTGTAGTATGCTATAATTTTGTAGAGTGGTATTTAGAAAAAAAGTTGTGTTCAATTTCTGAATCTGTTATAATATCTTCACTGTTGCTGTTTTACAACTAAACATTTCAACCATGTAAAAATAAAACCTTGGAATTCTCCCAGATAACTGTAATATACTAATATTACCTTCATTGCTAACATTATAACGTATTTTATGTTTGATTATTGCAGGCACAAGGATCCCACGAACGAGATGATGAGGTATGCTTACAGTACTACTTATGTAAATATTTCTATTGTTTTACTTCAATACAGTCAATGTAAGATTGGTAAATGGTCAATACTTTTGATTTGATAATTAAAAACATATTGTATCATGCTATAACAAACATGGATTATCTATGAGCTTATTCCTGTCCATGTATTTTAGAATGTCTACTTTGATGATGAGTGAGCTGAAGTAGTAATATCTTCATTGTGTTTGGGGATGATCAGGACAGGTAATTAATATATTTTAGTGACCTAAATCTTACAAGAAGTAAGATGGCTTATAGTGTGCGCATTCTGCAGCAGTTCCCTCTTCACGAATTCAAACTGGTTTACGTTTGATGGTGATAGAGGAATCAATGATCGCCTAGCTGCCTCTGTTCCTTCATCATCCCCCAATTCTGAAGAGATTTCCTTGAACGCGGAGGAAACTGATGAAGTGCTAACTGGTGAAACCACCGGCACCGAGTCACTGTTGGAAAGTGCATCCCTTGAAAATGGTCCTGTTGAGGAAGCCATGGAACTAGTAGAAGTTGCTAACGACAGTGATGCTACCACGGTCAGTGAGAAAATTTTGTGTACAAAAGAGGATAGTGCATCCCATGAGTCTGAAACCTCTGAGCGGCCTGTGGATGCTCAAGAGGGCCAGACTGGAGGTGCGGCTGAAGCGTCAAGCATAGAGGGAGCAGCGAATGAACCTTGCAGCTCTTTAAAAACGTGTGTTACCTTGTGCTAAAACACATAGTTTCTTCTCTCTTGGAAATCATGTGTTATGCAAACAACCAACAATCATGTCCTAGCTTGTGCTAAAACACATAGTTTTTCCTTTGTTATAAATTGTGTGTTTTGTAGCTAGCAAACAACCATGTGCTATCTTTTGTTGAAACACATGGTTGTTGAGTAGACAGACTCTAAAAAATGACATATATTTGGAGATGGAGCAGAAATGAGTGCAATTTAATAGAAGTAAAAGCAGTTTTTTTTTCATGTAACCATAACTAGGCTAGGCAATGAAAAAGGTTAATGAACTGAAAGATATAGATCTATTTTCTTTTAGAAGCGACATAATGAGATTAGTATACAGCATTGTTAGTATCAATCTTAGAAGAAATGCTAGCTGTGCATAAAGTAATTAAAATCCCTGCCATTGTACATACCAGCGACTAAGTGGCCGTATTTCCTTGAGCTCGGGACAATCACCTATCTCCACTTTCTTAATTTTGGTCACAGCTGTTGCACCACCAATGATGGATCTGAGGACTGGACACGACAAAATAGGCAGTTTCTCCAGTTCTGAAGAACTCCCCCAACTGGCTATTGTTGATGTCGATGGATTCTATGCTTCCACATGTCAACAAAAGAAGCTCCTTTAGAGAGGATAGAAATGTCATTACCCTCGGCGGGTTCAATTTGGGACAATCTAAAATTGAAAGCTTCTGCAGTCCGTCAAGCCTATCGACAGATAGGGATGTCAACTCACAAGAGACAATACAAATGGTCTTCACGACAGGTAGATAATTTGGCGTCAGAAATTCCTCAAGACTCGACAGTTTGTAAAGGGTAGACCCAGTGCCGGAAGCTCCCACATGAGTGAGGTCTGGGGAAGGGAAAAACCGAGGCAAGCCTTCCCCCGCAAAATCTACGGAGAGGCTGCTTCGAACCCGCAATCTGGTGACTCGGTGAGACAGCTCTCACCACTGCACCAGGCTTGCGCCATAAATTCCTCAAGACTCGACAGTTTGTAGCAATACCTAATATATATCTTAGAAAGGGATGAGAAACCTTTAACACCGTTGCTGCTGCTATTTGGTCCAGAGTCGCCAATTGATGTAAGGCGGGGGCAAAGATTAATTTGTAGTTCCTCCAGGGATGGAAGATTGCTACTCCACACATGCAGTGGTATAGCTGTTAACCATTCGCAATCATCTATTTGCAAAACAGTGAGGGAGGTGAGGTCATGGAATCTGCTCACAAGGTTATCCATGAAATAGCCCGACCTATCAAGGTATAGCTTTCTCAGAGAAGTTGGTACCTCCACCAAGTGTTTCCAATAGATTTGATCACAATATCGAATAGCTATCTCTTCAATAATATTGTGGTTGTCTGACACTGCACCTGCACTATTATCAAAGAATGGTATGCTCTTGATTTTTCTACAGAAAACAAACTCTAGTGAACGTAACCTTGGCAGGAGGTGTGGTCGAAGCCAGCTTGCAAAAGATTCACCTCCGTAACCATGCACTTGCAAATGTTGGAGGTTCCAGTGAGGTATTGCTTCCATCTGGTTAAACATCAACTCTGCTCCCTCATGACTAGTTCTCGCAACGAACCATCGTAGGGAGAGTTTGTCAGATTGGTCCCTGTCATAATTAAAATTACTTAATTTAATTTTCTGCAAGCCGATGAGATCACTGAAGCCAGGAGGAAACCTTTCAATCACATAATCGTCACAGTCTATAATATTGAGCTGATGCAGACGACAAAGCGATGAAGGAAATGTGAAATTAGAAATTCCGAGTAAATCACGGTTGCGTTTGCATAAACCGAAGTAACGCAGATGCTTTGAGTTGCCCATGCTGTCAGGTAGCTGGCTTACTTCACAATCCAGTCTCAGTACACGGAGTCTCAATAGTTCCTTGAACCAACAGTCCAACACGGGAGCATAGTCTTGTTACTGGATATCTATACATCAGGATCATTAGAGAGATCCCCTAGATATGCTAGTTACTATGTATAGCCTAGCTTCCTGTATTTGTACCTTCCATGTGTGCCTAATTGGTAATATATATGAAAGGCTCCCCACCCATATTGGGTGTGTGGTGATTCTCTCCTTTCTACATGGTATCAGAGAACTAGATCTTTCTCCCTCCCTCTTGTCTCTCCCACCAGCGGCTCTCTCCCCAGGCCACCATGTCGACCTCCTCTGCCACTAGTGCATCCCACTCCTCTGGAACCCTGGCGGCTGCGGACTCCCTCTCGGCCCCCGCCATCCTCGTCGCCCCCTACGCGACGATCTCCGTCAAATCTCACGTCCCGGTGACCTGGGAGCTCAAGCACCCAAACTTCAACCAGTGATCGCCGTTCTTCACCTCCCTCTGTGGGAAATTCAGCCTTCTCCCGCACATCGACGGCGGCCAGACCCACTGACCCTGCTTGGGCCATTGCGGACTCCTGTGTTCGCAGCTGGCTCCTCGGCACTGTCGGGACCGACGTCCTCGGCCTTGCTGCGGCACCGGACCAGACCGCGCGCGAGCTATGGGTCGCCATCAAGCGCCTCTTCGAGGCCAACAAGGCCCCGCACGCCATCTTCCTGAGTCACCAGTTCCACTCCATGACCCAGGGCGACTCCTCCATCGACGAGTACTGCCAGCAGATGAAAGCCACCGCCGATGCGCTCCGCGACGTCGGCCGTACCATCACCGACTCGGAGCTTGTCCTCAATCTCCTGCGCAGCCTCAATCCTCGCTTCACCGGCACTGCTGACAACATCGCCGACTCGAACCCGCTGCCGGACTTCGCCACCACTCGCGAGAAGCTCGTCCTCAAGGAGCTTCGTCTTGCCAACGAGGGCACTGTCGCCGCCCAAACGGCGTTCCACGCCGCGTGCGGTTCAGCATGCCGCTCGACCTCCGGCACCGCAGGTAGCGGCTCCTCTGCCGGTCGCCAGGGAGGCCACGGCGGCGGCGGCGGCGCTACAGGAAGAAGGGACGGGGCGGCCACGGCTACATCGGCGGCTTCCAGTCCGAGGGCGGGCCACGGGCTCCCACACCGCTAGCGGGCCCCTCGGTATCGCTACGCCCACAGAGAGCGGGCAGCAGCAGCAAGCGAGCGGCGCCACCCGGCGGCGAACTCCGGCTCGCACGGCCCCGACGTCCTCAGCGCCTACCCTTAGGCCCACACCGCCTTCGCCCCGCCCAACTCTCTGCCAGTCCGACCTCTCCCCCTCCGCAGCAGAACGTCGGCTAGGATCAGGCCGGCCTCGTTGCTACCCTCAACTAGATGACCCTCCAGGGGTCCAACCCCTGGGTCCTCGACACCGGTGCCACAACTCACATGTCGCCCTCAGATGGTATACTTCTGTCTCGTCTTCCCCCTCCTGCCTCTGGCATCACGGTTGGCAACGGCATCACCATTCCTATCACATGCCGTGGCACCTCCACACTATCTTCCCCTGAGTCCACTTTTCACCTCACTAATGTTCTGGTTGCCCCGGCTCTCATGTGCAATCTTCTTTCCGTTCGTCAATTCACTCGTGACAATGATTGTTCTATTGAATTTGACGCTTTCGGTTTTTCTGTCAAGGACCAATAGACGGGGCGCGTGACTCTTCGCTGCAATAATGATGGCGACCTCTACACCTTCCCTTCCTAGCCAGCGCACCACTGCAGCCTCGCCACCACCTCGTCGCTATGGCATCACCGCCTCGGTCACCCCGGTCTCTCTAGCCTCGCCACTCTACAGAGCATGTCGGTCATCTCATGTCATAAGAGCCCACCATCCATATGTCATGCATGTCAACTTGGCAAGCACATGCGGCTCCCATTTAGTCATTCTACCTCTGTGACCACTGCTCCTTTTGATTTAGTTCATTGTGATGTGTGGACGTCCCCGGTCCTTAGCATCTCCGGCTTTAAATATTATCTTGTTCTACTGGATGATTTCCCATTACTGCTGGTCGTTTCTGCTTCGTCACAAATCCGAGGTGCACCGCCACATAGTTGAGTTTATTGCCTACGCTCAAACACAATTTGGCGCCACCCCCAAATCATTCCAAGCTGATAATGGGACCGAGTTCGTTAACCATGCTACCACCTCCTTCCTCGCTAGCTATGGCATTACGCTCTCCCCTCTCGTGTCCTTATACCTCTCCTCAAAATGGCAAGGCTGAACGCATGCTTCGCACCACAAACAACACCATCCGCACCATGCTCCTTCATGTGTCCATGCCACCTCCCTACTGGGTTGAGGCCCTTGCCACTACCACTTTCCTCCTCAATAGGCGACCCTCCTCCTCCATCCAAAATTATATACCCTATCAGCTTCTTCACTAAAATCTCTCAGACTATTCCTCCCTTAGAGTTTTCGGATGCCTCTGCTATCCAAACCTCACTGCCACCTCCCCCCACAAACTAGCCCCTCGTTCAGCACCCTGTGTCTTCCTAGGATACCCGTCCTCTCACAAGGGATATCGCTGCCTTGACATGTCCACTCGGCGCATCATCATCTCTCGCCATGTTATTTTTGATGAGTTGGTGTTCCCATTCTCGGCAGCACCATCGGCGGCATCCATGCCGTCTTCACTTGACTTCCTGATGCAGGGACTATCTTCCTCGACGACCCCTGCGACCACCGCTCCGCTGCTCGCTGGCCCCATGGCCTCCACCTCCAGCGTGGACGAGTCCCCGGAGCTCCTGGACCCGGCTATCCTCCAGCTGGGCCCCCTGGCTACCCCTATAGGCGGGAACCCCCCAGCTGCTCATCCTCCGGGCAGGTCCCTGCTGGGCGGCCAGCGCTTCGGCGCTGTCTACACTCGCCGTGCCCGGCCTCCTGCAGCGCCGACAGACTAGGTAGCGGCTCCTGTGGCCGCGGCAGTGGCCCCTGCTGCACCTCCAGCACCACCGGTGGCCCCTGCTGCACCTCCAGCAGCACCGGTGCCCCCTCCTGTGCCTCCCGCAGCTCCTCGGGCTGCCTCACGACCTGTGACGCACTTACAGACCAGCAGCCTCTGCACCGTCG